TATTGTCAGAGTATTTGACATTATTCTTCTGAATATATCGATTGTATCTCCTCACAAATAATCCCATTTGTTCATCATCTGAATCTTCTTCATCACAAGAATCACTATCATTAGTGTTCTCATCCTTTGAGGACTTTGAACTTGAAGCCGTAAGAGCTTTAGACTTCAATTCTTCCTCCTTATTGGTGTCTTTATCCCTTTTCTTCCTTTTCTCAAGCTTCTTTTCATGTTTTTCTAAGCAATTGAGTTCTTGCTCGTGTTCTTCTAACTTTCCAAACAAAGCGGTGAGATCAAGTGTTGTAAGATTATTGGCTTCTTTGATCGCGGTGACCTTTAGTTGCCAATTCCTAGTAAGACATCTCGAAACCTTGTTAGTAGGAATAACATTAGAAATAGGATTACCTAAAAAATTTAAACGATTAATAAGATGTGAGAACCTCTTTTGCATTTGAGCAATGGTTTCACCATGCTTCATGCGAAAGAGTTCAAGCTCTTGATTAAGTGTATTAAACCTATCTTGTTTGACCTCATTAGTTCCCTCATAGGTAACTTGTAGAGTATCCCACATAGCTTTAGTAGTCTCACAATGGGAAATGTGATAAACCTCATCAACACCAAGAGTGGATATGATAATATTTTCCGCTTTCCAATCATGTGCCCACTTCTTATTATCATCCTCATTCCATAAGTTTTCCGGCTTTGGTACGGTAGCACCATCAATAATATATGTCATCGGTGTTGGATCATTTTGAATGACTTCCCAACACCTTTGTAATATGAGTAGACATGAATTTGCATACAAGCTTTTCAATAACTATAGTTTTCTCCCGTGAAAATTGAGGCTCTTTTATAATCTCATTTAGGTTCGCACGCCATTTTATAATAAGTTTTGGTCGGAATAAACTGGAATCTTGACGCCACTTGTTAGACGACAATGCCTTGTCTAGAGGGGGTGAATAGATCACCAAGTCAAAATTCCAGAAAAAATCTTGTTTTAAAATTTTGTTTAACAAAAGAGTGCAAGCGGAAGTTTTTCAAATTGATTTGTCTATACGAACCGAGTTATTAGAAGTCGGATATGCAAATATTAAAATTCAATATGGAATGAAAACAATAAATTGGAATTGATATACTTCAATCAAATAAAAGCTTATTTAACGTTTATAGAAAGTTACTAGCAATACTATTTCCAATGATAACAAGCAAAAGAATAAACTGAACAATTTGTCGAACACTTGGTGTGCAATAGAATTTTTCTTTGAATTTAACTAGCTAAACAATCTGTTAAACACTTGGTGTGCAATTAAAGTTTCATAATTTTCCTTTGTATTGTGTTGATATGAAAAAGTACTTATAATCAAAAGTGATTTATAAGCAAATCAACCTTCAATTCAAAACAAAAAAAAAGTTTCTGAAAATTCATATGGATTGATAGATTACTCAATGTTATTTTACAAATTGATGTTTGAAAATTAAATCAAGTAAAGCGATAAAAGAAAAGAGACACGAGGATTTGTCTTCATAATTTCCCATTTTCGTCCTCGCGTGTGGATATGTCTGTGCCTAATTCCAATAGAATTAGGATAATTCTTACTATGCAAAAAGTTTGATACAAGAGAAGTGTTCCAAGATCAACTCCACAAATTATAACGTTTGTTGTTAACTCAAACATTTCTTTTCATTTGATATTGATAAAGACCAAGACACAATAGCTTCCAATTGGTTATTTGGATCTTGTTGTCTTTTACGTACTTTATCTCCAAAGTTTTCGTGCACAACCAATTTCAATTATTGCACACAAGACTTCAATTTGATTCGCCTTTCTCTCGCTACTTCCTTTGTGTTCTTTATTTCCAAAGGATCCATTGTATTGTTTATTTCCAAAGGGTTTCACTTGGACGTAATCCTCTTTTGAATGTCTTGCACGAAAACCCAAAAAACAATCAATGAGCTTGGAGGACAAATCTGCGGTTTTTCCGGATGAAGACCCATGCAAATCTCAATCCAAATTTCTCGGCTACACAAGAACCTAATTGGATGTTATCGAACCTCATCTAGATGGCATCCCAATAAAAGATCGTTACAATGGTTTGTTAATGTGTATGCATAGGTTGGAGATTGAAGGTGAAGAGCAATTGCAAAAAAAATTCATGGTACCATCAAGTTGGAATGATGCATGAAAGATGTATTTATAATTATGGAAATATTAGGGCAAAAGAGGAAAATTCGAAATTAAAAGAAAATAGAAAATTTGTCCTTTGAAACAGTATGAGCTGGTATGTAGCTTGGATGAGCCGACTCGTAATGTTAATTGTAACAGCATTAGTCGGCCCGAAATGACCTATGAGTCAGCCTGATCAAGACAAAAAAGAACTGCTTATCTAAGACAGTACATGAGCCGACCTGAAATAACTTATGAGTCGGCCTGACCAAGATAGTGGAAAAACTACTTATTTAGAGCAATACATGACCCGACCTATAATGACTTATGAGTCGGCTTGAAAAATGCATTTTTAGTGCAGAAAATGATTTTTTGAGATTGGGTCAGTTTTGACTATGTTTCCAATGATTCCTAAGACCTCTAAATGCGTAAGGTGCCACCCAAATTCAGAGACCACACGATATAGAGAAATGTTATATTCTTGTAGTTTTGACATCGTGCAAAACACATCTTGAGGGAAGCTGCACTTACACATGAATCATATGTGATGCCAATACATAGCAAGACGCATTAAAGACAAAAAGAAAATTTCACAAGTCAACTTTGACCTTAGACCAATTATCAATACAACATATTCAATTCAGAAGAGTCCCAACAAGGGACTCCTAATCATCAAACATAAGATTCAAACCATCTGTTAACTTCATCTTTGATTTGCGAAAGCGATGAAACGTCATACTCAAGCCATTACCTGACTTTGTCAACTAAAGGCTTTGAGGAATAACATTCTAAACTGGGCATTTAGATGACCCAAGGTCAAACATAATTTGAAGACTATATAAGCTTAACATTACCACCTTTTAAGGTACACATTTCCTAATCCTAAAAATCTCACAACATATACTAACTTGGGTGTTATAGTGTTTGTAGTTACTTTACAAACCTCTCATCGATATTTGTCACAATATTTCAATCAACATTGTCGTCAAATCATTGCTAATTGTGAATATATATATATATATATATATATATATATATATATATATATATATATATATATATATATATATATATATATATATATATATATATATATATATATATATATATATATATATATATATATATATATTGATCAGAACAAGAAGGCATCACCAGAAAGCATCACTATTGTAAATAAACATTTCAAATCATTTTCACAACAACATACAACAAGCAAAGTCACCATCAACAAATATTGTTTCACCCAATCGCAGAACATAAAGGAAATAAATAGTTAAATAGGAATGAGAAAAACATACTAAGATAAAAATCAGCGTGTGTAACATGAGCTTGGAGTCAGCAAAAGCGAGTGACCAAATATTGCGAAGAGAATTTTAGAGAAATTATCCAAAAATTAAGAAGATTCGGGAATAAAGACCTAAAATAAAGAAAAGTACAAATGAGAATAAAGAGCAAAACTCCCTATTAATAAAGGATCTTTTGAACTAAATAATCAAGGATTGGATAGCCAATTAGACACATGAATAAGAACCTAAAATAAGAAGGCTTAATTGCAACTTTGATTCTCCTATTTTGTTTTTTTCTTGATTTTGATCTCCTCATTTTAAAAACCACAATTGTAATCCTTTTTTAAGTTTTCTTTTGAATTTTCATCCCCTTGTTTTAAAAACCATAATTTTAGTCATTTTTTAAGTTTTAAGTTGCAATTTTAGTTCTCTTTCTAATTCTGGTGATAATGAAAAAGGAATCAAAATTTAAAATAAAAATTAAAAAAAAAAGATTAAAATTGCAACTTAAAACTTAAAAAAGAATCAGAATCGTGATTTTTAAAATGAGAAGATAAAAATTCAAAAAAAGACTTAAAAAAGAACTAACATGATAATTTTTAAAATAAAAAGATCAAAATAAATAAAAAATTAAATATAAGAACCAAAATTACAACTAAACCAAAAAATTACAAAATAGAATAAGAGGAGCAAAGACTATCTATCTTTTGAACTAAAGGGCGGCGTGATTTCACCATTGAAACATTTCCCATACTGAGAACCATTATCTTTTTTTTTATAAAAAAATCCATTAACTATGATATTTACTATTTATTGCGTGTTTTCAATATCAAACCTTAATATTATAATCAATCTATTGGATTATTACTTCATCTTATGTTATGTTTCTTTAATGAAACAAGTATTTTATTTATACCTTGTTTTATTTATTCACCAAAACCAAATTACACCTCACGACTCAAAACACTTAAAAATTGTTTACTAAAGAGATTCTCAACAAGAGTTGAACTTTCAACATGGGGTAAATGATTAAGCAAGAAGAACTTATAAAAATAAGTTAGAAATTTTTTTTATGAACAATGTTATAAATTATTTTCATAAATTATCTCAAACAAATAATATCACAAAACATATCTTAATAAATAAACTTAAATAAATCAATACAAATAAACATTTAATCTAATTAATTTTTTATATAGACTAATAGGTCAATCAGACTTTTTTCTTTCCTAAAAACAAACATTTGATACGCTGACTACACGTCATGCAAGTCAGACTCAAACTTGGTAAACCTAACCCGGCCGGCCTATTTCCATCCCTACTTATTATAATAGGGCAAATATATAATACAGCAAGTATTCCATATGACTCTGCAAATGCGAAAAAACTAAATAATTTTAAAAAGCAACTTTGAATGCATTGAAGGTACCATAGAAAATTCAAATTTTGCAATACATTGATCAAAATGATTCAATATCTCTCTAGGAATGGTGGAACTCAACACATAAAACCTAACAAAAAGAAACACAACGAAGATGTGATCATGTCATCTACTGTTTAAGTTCAGTTTTCTTTTTCTGCCACAAACGATCAATCCCACTGTCCGCGTCTCCCTGCAAATAAAAAGCAGCATGTTAAGATCAGAGATGAATCCGAATACACAACATATCTATAAAGAGATACTTCAATATGTTTCTTAAGGAACAAAACTTTTATAAATTGACAATGTTTCAATAGATAGCTAAAACTCCCTCAGAGTTGGTACAATCAAATTTCTGTCAATTTTCACAGTCATTCCATTCTTCATTCTTTATTTCAACACAAACTCATAACATGTAAATTTTAGCAAGGAAACATCAATCTCTAAATATAAAAACAAGCTAAATTTCTGAAGAACACAAACTAAACTACTAGAAAACACAAACAAAACAAATAAATGCAGGGAAATTAAAATCAGTATTAGATACTAAACCCATAATCCAATTTATGCTTTAAAAAAACCCTCAAATAAAGTTATAGAAAACAGGTTAATCATCAATAGGAATTGATAAACATAATAAAATCAACATAATCAAACCCAAAATAATGTACCTGTGCGCGAGTGAAGCCACATAGGGCAAAAGTGGAGAAGTGACCATTGTAGACACCGCTTTCATCGAGGTGGCCTACGTTAATCTGAACCGAAGCGTGATCCTTAGCAGTAATCAATCTGTTAGTGGCAGAGCTGAAACAGATCCACACAATCAAATTTCATAACCGAAACAACAAATAAACAACATAACCCTAATATTTTTCAAAAGAATCAACAAAAAGTGTATATACCACTTCCTAGGGATGTAGAGCTCGGTGATTTGTCCTTCATCGTTCTGCATCTTGAGGTTTGTTGTGAAATTTCCTAGAAACGTATTTCGATTTTGAAAAACAAGACGCAGCAATGAGAACAAGATGCAAAGCTACTTTAAATCCTAAACCCTTGAAATCTTTTGTGATGTGGACCGGGTTTTCGGATATGGCCCAATTAGTGCCATTAACTGGTTTAGTAAAACAAAAACATACGTTACTTACACCTCTTTTTATTTTGGTTTGTTTAACTGTTTCAATTTCATAAATATAAGTAAATTTAATGGGGGATTTAAAATGTCTTTTGATTATTAATAAACTTATAAAAATTGACTTCTTTTGCTATAAAGGACAAGAAACTGAAACTCATGAAAATATAAAAAAGAAAATATATAATTACATTTTTTTTTATGTACATAATCCCACCAAATATAGTTTGTAGATGTTAATCCTAAGTTAATCATCTTATCTACACGGTAATTAGCCTCCAAGTAGATATGACTAGCATTAGCAATAAAAAAAATAGATTTCAAAGCAATCAAACAATTTTTCCAATGGTTTTTTAACCTCCGGGAAATTAAATAGGACTTGTTGAAAATCATTAGCACTGACCTGATATCTGTCTCTAACCAAAACACGTGCTAATGTTGAGAGAGATGCTCTATAGCTAGGACAATTCTCATAAGCACAACCAAGACTGCAAGAAAAACTACTGAGATGAATTGCATTATGATCTCTAAAAATGCCTCCGTGTTTTGCCATGCTTAATCAAAGGGAAAATGTTAGTTAAGGTTGTCAGTTGGTTCCACAGGTTATGTGGTTAGTGAAAATACAAAATAGGCTATAGATATATTCTGAGTTCTTGTAATAAATATTGAATATAGAAGTCATATGTACACTGCTATGAGTCAGCTTATCATAAGTAGATATAACTTTCATAAATCAGTCTCTAAAGTAACAAAGATTTAGAGAGGGTTAGAAAAGTTTTAGATTAGATTGCCTAAGTGACTAGCCATAGAGGATCCAATTATGAAAGAGTTGGATATTTGAGGGTGAGTTGTGTTGGACTACTCTTCCTATTTGGGGAGGTTCAAATAGATGCGAGTTAGTGATTTATGTGTGTCTATATGTCTTTGTTATTATTCAATAATGAGAATTAGGTTATTCGTTTATTGTATGATAGAAACTACAAGAAAAAGTTAGAGAAAAATATTATCCTCACATCCCTAATTTTGCACAAATTAGTTTCAGAAAAATCAGAACTTGTACAAAATCCAACGGTCGGATCGTCATGAAATTTTGACACAATGTCCATGACTCATAATAGCAAATTCTGAACGGTGGTAATTGGATTTGAAGCTTTCTAAGTCGGTCTGTCGAGTCCATCTTTGAGGTCATATTTTCTTGATGTTTTTGAGTTGTTTTGTCTCTCTTGATTCTTGTATTCCAAGATTGATTGTAAATCTTGATGATGTTTATGTACGCCACTAACTAGAGTTAGAGAGAACCTTGTTTGTACCCATTGTTGATTATATTGGAGGATTTAAGTGGCCTACGGGTCCTGTGGTTTTTTACTCCTAGTTAACACAGGTTTTTCCACGCTAAAATTATTGTGTTTTTTTATGTGTTTTGTTGATTGTCGTTGCATTTGATATTTGAGAGAGATTGTGTTGTTAAATTATTTTATTACATTTGTGATTTCCTGCCAATAAGTTATACATTTGCATCTAAACACCACACTTTATTATAACGTTGGCTATTGAGATGATTATATATTTCACTTAGTTAGGCAACATAGTGAAAGTATCGGTCATGACATCAAACTAACCACTTACACATTTTAAGTATCATTTTATCATAAAATTCTTCAATTAAGATATTAGATTGTTAGAATTGATTTTTTATTTAATTTTTATTTAATTTTTGTTTTTCAAATAAATTCAATCATACACTTTCTCTTTATTCAATAAATAATTGAGAAAATAATTAATTTTATAAATAATATAAAGTGAAATTATTGAAAAAGTAAATATATAATTAATAAATTATAATATTAAATTATAAAAAAAGATATTTAAATGAAAACAAAAAAAAAATGTTCTAAAACAACACATAAAAAAGAACAAAAAATATATGTTTTGATAAATCTTTATTTTTATTATGAGTGTGAATTCTCTTATATATATAAAAAATGTTATTAAAAGAATTTCGTTTACTTTTCAACTATTTCTAAAATCTAATTAAAATTGAATATTTCAGTATTATTAAGACAAAGATAAAAAAAAAATGTATTTAAGATGACAATATTTTAAGATTTATATAATACATATTTTTAAAAATAATAAAATTAATTACACATTTGTACGCTAAAATTATAATAATGAAATATCATATGTCTTTTAAGTAATGAAGAGGTTCTTTAATACAAATAAATATTCTTTCAATTTCTCAAAAGAAATAAAAGTATCTATTAATATAATTTTGATGTATAAATATGTAATTAATGTTATTATTTTATGGAATATATGCAAAATATTTATATCAAGATTATAATAATGAACGTTTCCATTTTTTTTTTTTGAGAAATAGATCTCTCAATTCTATTCCATATTAAAATTTATTTTGGATTGGACATGCGATTAATCTACTTTAGGGTAAAGTCTAGTCCAATATTGCTAGAGACTCAATAAATTGTTGGAGATCTGGTCTGCACTTGCTCCCCAGTCGGGCACCTCTACCTCAATACCCAGAAGGCTATGACATGTCGAGGATCTCCCATCCATGATCATGTCGAGGACCTCTCCTCTAAGGGCATGTCGAGGACCTCCTCTTCGTATTCGTCGAGGACTCTCTCCCCACGTCCCCACCAAGAGAACATGGATAAACAGTCCTCTGAATATCGCAGACTTATCCTGCTTCCGAAAGAACGGGCCTTCACCCCAAGAATCGCAGAGCAGTTGAACCAGGATAGAGACCATAGACTGGTCCCACCTACCCACATAGGATCCCAGCATTCTCTATTATGGGCTTGGGGAATCAACTTAAATGGAGACTTTTGACCCAAAGATTGGGGCTATAAATACCCTCTTACACTATAGGATCAGGTATTCATTCATTCACACTCTTACTCTCTACTTGTACTTGGCTCTGAATCTTACTTTAGCATCAGAGTGTCTTGCAGGTACCCTCCACTTCACCTTCAACCACCATGCAGTTCCAGTTCGTGGGCCATCGACGATCCCTTCTGATCAGGTACGACCAGTGGCGCCGTCTATGAGAAACATCTTCTCTGTCTTTTCCTAAACTTAAAACCAAAGCAAACTTTCAACTCTCTGATCGTCATGGTCGATCAACTCAACAACAGTGACGAGAACGTTCACTTTATCGACGTTGGCAACAACAACATTGGCAATCACGAACACGACATCGGGGATGGAAGAACCGCTTCCTCCTCCACCTACAAGCACCCGCTTGACAACTCTCACCGACGATTCGACGAGTCTGAAGTGTACCAGGAAATCCCAATGCCCGCCAATATTGATCCCACGACCCAGGCTTTGTTCGCGACGATCAACCAAACCAACTACCTGATCTTCGCGCAAGGTGAACGGATCAGAATACTGGAGACGAGCTTCCGGTTTTGCTCCCCTAGAAAGCACTGAAGACCTGACTCATGTACCCCATCTCCACAAAAATGTGAGTCTCATTCATGATCTCCTCCACGGAGACACCAACGGGAAGAATCTTACAACTCCTCACCTTGTTGTACCGGGAGAGGCCCTCGACTGGAGAGTACCCAACCTAAGATTGTCAAGAAGCGAGATTGCACCCCTACCGTGCAAGGAACGGAGGTCCCATGTTCCTAAGAGGAACAAAGGCAAATAACACCCCGAGAAGATGAAGACTCAGGCAAGAGACTTTCACCGAAGAGGCCCCCGTTTCGATTTTTCCCATCCCGCTCTCCAGACATAAGCGATGAAGATGACTCCCACTGTCCACTATCTAAAGCAATTATGGAGGTCCCTATTCCTAAAGGGATGGAGAAGCCTCCACCTTTGAACACCTATGATGGCGCTACGGATCCCGACGACCACCTCGAGAGATTTGAGGCAATGATTCACTCTCACAACATCAGGGCTGCCATCAAGTGCAGGTTATTCCCACAACTTTGAGAAAAACTGCTATGGACTGGTACAAAAGCCTCGCCCCCAGGTCCATGACATTGTGGAAGAGTCTGAAGACCTAACTCACCGGCAGCTTCAGGCCTCAGGCCGACACCCAAAGACTAAGGCATCCATCGAGGCAATCGTCTAGGGGAGCAATGAATCCCTCTGAGATTACATCGAGTGGTTCAACCGTGAGGCCATCCAAGTCCACACAAATGACCCCATGAAGAGGTGCCTGCTCGAGAGAGGGCTCTGCCATGGCAGCGACTTCAGAAAGGAAGTCGGCATCGAGACCCCCAGATTGTTGGACAAACTCCTCCAGAAGGCTCGGTCCTATATCACTCACGAGGATAAGGAGGCCGCCAATAGCACTCGCGATCCCAAAAATCGCGAAGGACCCAATGCCCCACGGTATAATGATGTTTGGTCGTCTCGACAAGCGGGGGACAAGATAAAATATAAGAAATCACGTGACTCCCGCGAGCACTGAGACCTAGTTGATCGCTTCACCGAGTACACTGACTGCTCCTCGCGAGTGTATCCTTGTGGAGTATGCTAATGCTGAATTAAAGGATGGTGGGGTCTGACGACCCAAACCCGCAGCTCTCAAGCCCGGGGTCGACAGGACCAAATACTTCCAATACCACCGAAGCCATGGCCATGTCATTGAGGACTGTGTTCACCTGAAAGATGTTATTGATACCCTCATCAAGGTGGGGCGACTCGGGCAGTACAAGAGGAACGACTCCCCTCGTCGCGATAACCGCAAAGTGAAGGATGAGGCATGGCCCTTCAAAGAGGTTTCCCCCCTCCAAGTTGCTTTGTGCATTTCACAACCTAAGGAATTCTACATCCCCGACGGACTT